TAGCCCAAGAGTTGGCGGTGGGTGGTCATGACTAGCTGCCTTCCCTCTAGTCTTACACTGCTAAATTAGGGACGGCTAGCGCAGATAGCCCTCGTGTAGCTTTGCGCGAAATTCTAAAGCAAACAAACAAACAGTTGCTGGACTGAATTTTTGGAAAAAATCTCGATATTACGAACACAGTTTCCATCAAAATGTCCAAGACAATCTCTATTTTTTTAACTGACCTAATATTACGTCTTTGAATGATATAACTTCGTTATTGCTCGGTGGATTGATTTTTATAAATATTGTTAAAATAGCAAAGAATAATGAAATGATTTATTTTTGGGGAGTAAACTACATTTTTCGCAGAACATTTTCCTCAAAAAATAAATCACTTCATTATGTTTATAAGTCATTGTTTGCTAATTTATTATAGTGCTAAAGTTACTAAATCTATAGAACCAATAAGATCTAAGGTATGAACTCTTTGTGTTATTTATGTGAGGCAACATTTTGCTGAAGGATGTTATAGAAATAAGTTACACTATCATTTTTCTCCCTTTGCACTGGAAGTAAAAGAAAACAACTGTTATTTTACCGAAAGACACTAGCATTGTGAAACCTATTGTCAACATAAACTACACACTGTGCTCAATAAGCAGAATGATTATTCTATGTCATCCAATAACCTTAGAAGAATGACGTAACGTGTTAATGAAAATATTTATTATGCTATAAGCGCTTAAGAAAAGTGGAAACAACTTTGCATTATGTGCACATCAAGTATTTCTGTAGTAATTATAATCACAATATTTAGAACAAAATAATATCGTCATTGGATCTACTTAATCAGTCTGATTCTTATCCGAGAAATTACCCTTGCAAAGAAAATATCTCATTAAGCACGGGCTCGTGTGCAATAAAGGAAACAATAAGAAGCCAAATCAAAGACAGTATTATTATGAAACTTTGTTGAATGAACGGCAACTGTCTGTTGTAGAAACACAAGTGTTCATGACCTAAAGACGAAAGGCGGAAGACTTTCGAAACGTCGTCCTCTACAGTTGTGTTTCTGTAACAGGCAGTTGCCGTTCATTCAAAAGCGGATACAAAATCGAATGGCGGGATTGACTGACACTCTGACAACCGATTTACAAATGAAAGTGTGAAGCGATTTAAAAGCACAACGTTTCGTGACCGAGAACCTCTCAACTCCAGTCTGATTCGCTAACCATTACATCACATTGAACTAAAATTAATAAGACAGCCAATGTGATAGCAATACAACAATCCAAATTTTGAACCAGAATGAATTATTCTGGGTGGCCTGAACATCTTTCACATTTGGAAAAATACTTTTTATAATTTACAAATTATCTTGTGTTTGGCTAATATGTAAATATATATATATTCACTTGATATTTTAAATTCAAATTACTGATAGGAGGGAAAATTTAACCTTATGTTTCTCGAGCTATTGAAGTAGATTATTTTTAAAGAACAAATTGTAGAATGATATAACATCGATGTTCATCAATAATTCTGTCTTCTTTGATAGATTGTTTAGGCAGAGTATTCATGATGAAACTTTGCAAACAGGTGTTTCGTAGTTCAAAATTTGGGACAGCTGTGCCTAAACCCTAACATCTCTATTCTGGTCCATTGTGTACGTAAGATGTCGTTCAGGTAAACAAACAGTAGTAAGTTGAAACGTAACTTCATTATTTAATTAAGAAATTCACATAATTCACAACCAAACCACACAACAATAGTAAGTTGAAACGTAACTTCATTATTTAACTAAGAAATTCTCATAATTCACAACCAAACCACACAACAATAGTAAGTTGAAACGTAACTTCATTATTTAACTAAGAAATTCAAATAATTCACAACAATAGCAAGTTGAAACGTGACTTCATTATTTAATTAAGAAATTCACATAATTCACAACCAAACCACACAACAATAGTAAGTTGAAACGTGACTTCATTATTTAATTAAGAAATTCACATAATTCACAACAAAACCACACAACAATAGTAAGTTGAAACGTGACTTCATTATTTAATTAAGAAATTCACATAATTCACAACAAAACCACACAACGATCATTTTTTTCCCACTTATCCGTCTCTCACTCTATTCCGTCATATATTTTGGAACCATATTTTTATTATCTTTGATATACTTACACATAATTCTCTCTCTCCCTATCCTTGGTTTAGTGATGAGGGCGCTTGACCCTCGGTTTCGAATTCCTTCACCAAACATATTCGTCTTTTCAGCTGTGGTTACGTTACAATGTAACGGTCAATCACGCTTTTCGTTGGTAAAGAGCAACCCAAGAACTGGCTGTAGATGGAGTCGACTAGCTCTATCTCTTCTAAATTAAATATCTTTCAAGTAACCTTGCACGGAATTCGACAAGTAAACAAACTTTCTTTCTACGTATCGTTCAACGTAAAACTAACTAACAACTTTTTACCGTTTATCATGTTTTTCGTGATTTAAATTTCGTGTGATAATATTTTATTGTTTTTATATTATATAGATTTACGAGATTGGTTTTCATCAATTAAGAAATCAATAGTGAAAAATTATATCTCCTAGATAATTTGACGTTTTTAATTTTATGACATTTTATATTACATATATTTATAATGCATTTAAAAAAATGCTTGGATCTTTGTCTAAATTGGTTCATATACGCAAACAGAATCATACCAGCAGCAAGATTTACAGAGAATTTATCTGTGTAATTAGAACTTGAAAAAGGCAAAAGACCAACTCCATTATGTGCAAACAACTTTTGTAGTATTGAAAGGAAGTTTCAGTCAAAAGTAAAAAATCTCTCTTGTTGACTTTGTATTTTAATTTGTAGAACCACATTTGTTTAAATGAATTTCTTGAAGAGTCAAACAAAATTATTTTGTTTGTTTGTTGTTAAGCACAAAGTTACACGAGAGGCTGGCTACATGTGCTCTGCCCACCGATTTTTGGCGTTATTAGCACTCAGACTCAGATGGGGCAAGTGATGTGGCAAAAATTCAGAAGGCTCCCGTAAAGCATTAGTAGAATGTAAAGATAGTTTAGGAAATATAACTAAATTTAATTAAAATGTGTATGCGGCTGAAGCAGAAAAGCATCAGAGGATTCGAATGTAAATGAGAATTTGTTTTTCATGATTAATTATGCTTGTTTCACATGTTTTCAAATACAAAAATTCAATGAAATATCAACCCTAAGATTGAAACGATTTAATAACCTTTCTTGGAGAGCTTACAATATTACACCATTCACATGAAGGCGGAAATATATCAATAGAATACAAAGGCACAATTCAATACATTTTATACTTACAAAATAACACATTTCTCGTTATAAACTCAAATATAACATAGTTTTAATTTATGCACTAGCTATATAGTAAAAATATTTGATAAAAAATTACTGTATACTTCAAAAACACGTCTATAGCCCGAGAACTATGGTTGAATGCAATTAAATTAAATTAATTTTAAATGAAAATGCGAAATGAATGCTAGACAAGTATATAGCAGTAAACGTGAGAATACTTATAGGGTTGGCACTTAAATTTTTTGGTACGAATATATCTATAGGATAATTTAGAAGACTAATAAACAAAGCTGAATTTCAGGTAAATTCTAGTAAATTTTGAAGAGTAATTCCTCATAACGGAAAACGTTTCGGACACATGTGTGCTAACGATAACAGTGTAACTTCATACTTGTTGTACTTCACGTAACAGTACTATAATCAATTATCAATTATGTTATTTCAGTACTCTTTCACTTTCAACTTTGGAAATATAAGGAACAGAATAGGAAAGGAATCATAATATCAAGATATTTCTCTTACTGAATTTAAAATAATTACTTCGCTTAACATTTATAACAACTATTTCATACGCTGTTTTCTGCAGAGTAAAATGAGTCTCACTCAAAACATTTCTGAGACTAAATATACGTTTTACAACTGGTAT